TTTTGTTTAGCTAAAGATCATTCAAAACAATGGGGATGAGCCCTGTAACTTGTGATGCACTGAATAATGACCTCTTCCCCAAGCCAAGCTGCTGACTGTGACAGGCATGGGGCTTGCATCATAGCTACCTTGTGTACTGCATGCTGCCCCAACGCTCACACATATCACCGAAACGCGACATCGCATCTAAGCCCTCCCATCTGCAGTGGCAAATTACAGGATTTAAGCTTTAGTGTCAACAGACACTAGAGAAATTCTCACAAGCAGCAAAGCCGTATCACCACATGTTGCAGAACGGATTTGCAAGAACCTAAAAATGTCTGGATTTCTGGAGAAGTTCCTAAAAGTGAAAACAATTCCCTTCCCTGTATCCTTATTTATCCTTACAAAAGTGAAGGGTGTCAGGAACTAGTAAAAGCATAGCAGAGTGTGCAGCCCGTGTGCCTAAAACAATAGTAGGTTCCAAGGGTTCCCAATCTGAAAATGATGTTCCCAATCTGAAAAGGCACTGGGCTGCCAGTGCCTTTCACAGGCCTCACTCCAAGGGGATAAACGAAGCTGGCACCAGCTCTGCTGAAAACTGGAGTAGTTATGCTACCGCAGCATCGCACCGTATGGCTACGATCATCCAAGCATGCACTTGCTCCCTAAAACATGCATATTCCATTACCTCCAACTAATAAATCTTCTATTTTTACCCTCATCTCTCTGCTTTCTCAATAACCATTTTGATATAAACCATTGCTTGCTGTTCCTGATGACTAATCCCTTAATCATCTTTCTTAAATATATGCAAAGTGTAGTTCTTTGTAAATACAAAAGAAAAAGCAATCACATAAATAATTAAGATGGCTTTTCAAATGACAGTTGAGTGCTAATATGAGGTACACACTGGAAAATAATAATCAACAAACTAAATACACATCTATTAAAATGTAGGAGTCCAGACATATGAAGACAGAAAAGGAATTCAGTGCAACCCCATTTGAATCATGCTTTGATAAACATCCTCCCTACAACTCCTCTTTCGGTCACTTGGTGAGGTTAAGAAAAGCAAGCACTGCTTTGCACTTCATGTGTGAATAAGAAATTATTATCATTATGGTTATTAATAGCAGCAGCTAACATTTAATTGAGCACTTCATCTTTCCCCACAATGTGTTAATACTTTACACATTCAGCCAGTATGTGCACTACAATCACCCCTAATCTCTTGACATAAACACTGTTATTTGCATTACATAGATAAAAGAAATTCAAGCTTAGAAAAGTTTTTTAAAACTTGCCTAAGGTAATAGTATGTATCTGCTTCTAATAATATAGCATTATTTCACCACAGTAGCAAAGAACTGGGAACAATTTGGATCCTCAAGAAACAAACCTCGAGACAAAACTGAAAGTCATTTGTTGTCACAAGGGGGGGACATGGAGAGCAGGGGAGTTAATTTTGCATACTTGTGTCCTTCATGTGTTCAGTATCAGACCAGCCCTAAGACCTACTGATGAGGCCTAGTTTCTGGATTAAGGCCAATGTACCCCATGAGACACTTTGAAGACCATTCACCCTGTCTTTCTTGAACCTCTTGGAAATTTTGGTTTGATGATCATAAGAAAACCAGACAAGCTGAGCTGGATTCCTGCTTCATCCTTTTGAAAGTTGGTCATCCTAACCAGCCCACACAAGATTTGAAGTCTATGCAAAGTTCAGAGAGAAGTTAGGAAAGATTGGGCTTGAAGTCTTTCAGAGGAATCAAATCTCATCAAACTAAACATACTTGGGTTGTTCTCTTTGTGTGACAGGGAAAGGATTGAGATATATTCTGGGGAGTCAGATGTGGCTCAAGTGATAACTCCAAGAAATGAGCATCAGTTCCTACTATGCCAGTCCACTTCTGCCCAGCAGTGCTAAGCCACTGGCCATCTCATGGACCCAGAATTCACTGGCAGTCAGATGTAGTATCAGTTCTTTTCACACCCTGTGTATTCTATGCACAACGAGGCAACCTTGGGTGGGTAGGCTTGGCACCTGTGAGGCAGACTGCTCACTCATGACAATCTCCCTCTGATGATCAGCCATGGCCCTCTCTAGCCCCATCCCTTTCCTCCTGCAAACAGCTAGTACATCAGTGGCTGGCCTCGGGCTCATCTGCTCAGCCCTGGCCAACCGCCATTCTCTTCAGAATGAGAAGTCTGGCATCCCATCGTAAGTATCCAAAATCTAAAAACTAAAATATGAAAACTGTAAGAGGGCAAGAGTGAGAAGGGACTGGGAGCCCCACTCTGGCCCTTGAAGAGCTCTGCAGTTGGACACTGAGATCTTGCTGTGGGTTTACAAATTACACATGGATGGGCACCTAATCAGCTACTGTTCTTTACACACAGTGCCCCCTGGAATGTCCTTGGATCATAGGACTTGGGAGTGGATAGGCAAGATCTGCATAAAGAGAGGAAGGGAAAAAAAAAACCCATTCCAACAAAATGCTAAGGGCAATAATAAACCACACGACTGCAAGACCCAGCTATACCTATTGGTATCCCAAACTTAGAGAACTAATTCCCAAAGAAGTATAGACACTGCTGCCGAACAAAGAAGAATCTACTCCATCTTAAAAACAGAACAAAGTTAAACTTCTTTCTTAAGAAGTCACAGGGGGCTCCTTAGAAAACTTAGAAGATGAGGCACTTGGTTTACAGGCCAAGGACAGCAGCTATGATCCACATTGTAGGCACCTGACAAGAACCACAGCTGTACCTATGTAGATGAACAACACAAGCACAAACCCCATGTCTGATGTTTCTTTAGAGATAGACTGGGAACTGAGGGCTTCCTCCACTTACCTCCCCCTAAGTTCTTCAAAAGGATACTTTACTTCTACACTTTCCATGTGATCTTACTTTGTTTTCATTTTTCTGCTATTTCTAACCTTGGAGCATCCAAAACATTTCAGGATAAGGGCATGTGTGCATGAAATAATTATAAGCAGTAGTAATCAGGGGTAGGTTCTTAATACATACCTATGTGGAGTGTGTTCTCACTTAAACTACATTTACAAAGCAATAGGATCTCCCTAAAAGTGGCTTGAGAGCTCTAGAAAGGACAGCTTGAATGTAAAAGGATGCTATGGTGGATCAGAATAGCTTCCTGTAAGAAACATGACTAATCCTGAACTTAATCACACAGCTACTACCTATAGATTCTGAAAGGTCACAACCTATACAATACTGACAGTGGAAGAAAAGCCAGGCTGAGGGGTAGAGTGGACAGACTCAGCATTCAAAGCCAGAGGGAGCAAGGTGGTCACCTGACTCTGAGGTTCACCATTTGTGCAGCTCTGCGTACATCCTTTTGTGCCATCCCTTGGCTCCTCTGTAATGGAAAAGATTACAACCTCACAAGCAAATGAGAAGCCCTGCCCAGAGCAGGACATGTCAAGTACTTAGTGAATGTGGGCTACATTCCACTGGCTAAGAAGTAGACATAAGCATTCTGGACCTGGCAATCCCAGCATGTACAGTGGTAGCTAAAGAGGAAGACAGCAGGAAAGAGGATGATAGAAGGTAGAGAAATAGACTCTACCTCCAGAATCACAGCCATAAACAACCACAGAGCCTGGGTATATGGCGGCCAACATGGAACCAAAAGGCCCAGACTTCTGAATGAGCTTTTGCTACAACACAAAATGCTGCATCATTTTGAGAATCTTTGTGAGGCATCAGTATGCTGCAGTACCTTCCCAGCCCGACAGTGCTACAATTCACCCCAGATAATGTCTCAACACACTCAAGCTGGCTTGTAGCTTAAAAAACTAGATCATAGCAAATGAACCTTGAGAAACACAAGAAGGTGGTACTTAATGATCTGCCAGGTAAAATCCCCTTTCAGACGTGTGAGATAAGGGAGAGCGTGGAGGAAACCAGAACAAGTATCAAAGCTGAGGAAGATGGGGTGGCAGGGAAACCCATCATGTTACTAGGAGTGTGGGGAAGGGTGTCACATGCTCTTTATTATACTGATAATGCAATGATATAAAGTGGTAACAAACCACCCACCATGGTGGCAGACTTCACAAGCACGTGAATGAATGAATGCATCTCTACTTCATGAAAAAATACCCATCAGCTTGTGTCTCTCCCTAGCTCCTACCCTCTAATGTCTTTCCCCCAACTGACTCCGAGACCCTGTGAGACATCCCCACCACTCTGCTCTCCCATCTCCTCTTCATTGGGCTCCAGATGCCCTCGCTTCCCTATGAGCTCTGAATTCTCCAGGCCTACCTCCACGCCTTTGCAAATGCGCTGCTACTGCTAGGCAAGCCTTTCTCCGGGCATCTATGTGGCTTGCTTCTTTTAGGAGGGTCCCACTGACCACTCCATCTACACAGCTCAGCTTCTCTACTTGTCCCTATTCTGCTTTATTGTCCTTTCACACACTTATTGCAGCCTGGTGCTATGCTAAATATCAAACATGATTATCCCTTCATGGTCTACTTTTCCTATCTAGAAGGGAAGTCTACAAGTGGAGGAATTTGTTTTGTTTGATGCTATGTCCTTGGTCCCCAAAGCATTTCCATTCTTAGTAAATGTTTAAGCACAAAAACATAACACCAATACCCACACAAGAGAAAAAAATCATAAAATTAGAGACAGGGTTAAAGCCTTCCCTTCTCTAATCTTAAAAACCACAAGTATAACAACCTCCTAGTTGCACTCATGGGCGTTAACCATGTTTTATTTTTCTTAATAAATGAGCTAAATGAGTAAACATTCTCAAACCTCTGACTAATAAAGCAGATGACATTGACAGTGAACTCTAAACAAATGCATGGGCAATAACAGGCTTGCTCATCCTTTCATCCATAAAGTAAACAATGTGAAGATGACTTTAAAAATAAAGACATTATTCCAAGAGCAATAAACTTTATGCACTGCACTAAAACTTCCATGTGTTTAGCCCGGCATGCATACGCGGCAATTATAAAACAGAACAGTCAACTGCTTACCCACTCTTCCAAAATGCGTGACACTGCTTCGCTGGCTCTTGTCATGTTCCTACAGGCCAGGATCACGTGAGCACCATGCAGGGCAAAAGACTTGGCTGTTTCAAACCCTACGGTTTGAAGAAAAATCAACATCAGAAAACACAGCATCAGCACAACCAAGTTCTCAGTCTGAGTCAGTGGTGTGACCCAGGGGACAGGTATAAACTCTGGAGACACTGTCAGCGGGCTCCTACTCATACCTAGTAAGTAAAGGCCAAAGCATCTACAAAACATCTTGTAGTCGCTAGTATGGCCTCCACCACACAGAAGCGCCTGGCCACAGGTCCAGAGAGTACACTTGACAAAGCTTTCCCTAGACACCAAGCAACTGCAAAAATGGAGGTCCCGAGACAGAAGAGCAAGGGACAGCCTGCCCTGTAACCGTGAGTGACATCTCGGGGTGGGAGGACTTACAATCTGTTCTGCAATGCTTGCAGCACTTCTGCTCCCAATAATGGTGGCTTAGGTTCTCTGGACACACCTTACTACGAAAAACGATCTAACAAGCTGGGCAGTACATCACACACACACACACACACACACACACACACACACACAGCCTTGTTTGAAAGCCTCGGAAAAGGACGCTACTACTAAGAATTCTTTAGACTAACACTTAGCACATTTTTCCGCTCAATTCCTATTCTAATCTTAAAAGTAGTGGTCAGAGAGCCTGAGAAGATGGGCCAAGCTGTGGCAGTCTTAGATAGGAAAAAACACACACATATCAGCCCAGATCCTAGGAGTACTCTAGCTCTGGTAAAAACATCAAATTTTTGGTTAGGGTCCTAAAGGGTTATTGCCTCATAGTACAACCAAAATTAGTCTAGCATGAGAACAAGTGCCTAAAGCCATTTCAATTTCTGATTGGATTAAAGTGATCTGTCCCTGTCTAATTGCCGAAGGGAGAAGGGACAACTATACAGTAAGTACTCTCTGGAGTCCAACACTATCACTGTAATTATTTCAAATCTCTGATGTGCAGACGAAAACAGTTAGACTACATAAAAATAAGATCCCAACAAAAGACAGAGGAAGGAAAACTAGAAACAAATGCACAGGCAGCCTATACAATGTCATTATCACAAATAAGGATCAAAATCACAATAAGTAATATATCCAAGAAATGAACAGATCAGATAAAAAATTATGCTGCTGAATCTGAAACAATAAAAAGTAATCAAATAAATAATATGTAAGTTAACACCAAGCACAATTAAAATACAAAGCACAGATTTTTAAAAAACAAGACACAGTGAAGAAAACTAGAAAGTAAGTCAAAAGAAAATATTCAAAATGAAGTATAAAAAGAAAGATGATTAATGCACCAAGAAACATTAGAGACATGTTGAAGCACAATGTCTTATGTTCTCTCACAAACACATAATTTGAGCCTCCCCAAAATAGAACAGCTTAAGACATTAGCAATTTTTGAATGGCCAATAACTTTCTAAAACTAATGACAGACATCAAGCAACAAATTCAAGACTCATTTTGAGCCCCAAGATTAAAAGTTGCAATTAAAATAGAAAATACTCAGATTACATAACACATATATAACATGCACCTTGTAGAAGACTCTATGTCATGCTTTATATTTTTTTAATGTAAGGGAAAAATTTAAAATAAAACATTGGGAAAGATATAACATGTAACATGAGTCAGAAGAAATCTGATTTCATTTATACTAATTTCCAAAAAAAGAAACTTTAAAGAAAGCAGTATTACAAGTGAAAAGGTTGAACACTTCATAATGGTAAATTTCAATCCAAGAATATATGACAATTCTAAATTTATATATATGTACCTAATAATAGATTTTCATGCATACATAACTCAAAACTGACAAGAGTTGGCAGGAGAAATAGAAAAGTTCACAGTCACAATGAGAGATATTAGCATAGCACTCTCAGTAGCAAAGATAAAGTATACAGCAGATTTTAACAGTGTAACTGACAATAGGAAATAACTGAACATACTAATCACCAAATACAACAGCAAAACATACAGTCAAATATCTAAGCAATATTTATCAAAATTGACTGTTCAAAACTAAAAGCAAATGTCAACAGCTTTCAAAGGATTAAAATTGAGATGCATATTTTAGGACCACAATGGAATTAAGTTAGAAATCAACAAAATCTCAGAAAATTCTCCTTACTAGCAATATATATACATATATATATATAATTTTTAAAATTTTATTTTAAAGAGAAAAACAATAGACAATTATAGAGAATTTCAAAACAAGGTAATACGAGATTAACAATGGTTAAAACATTGAGTGTTGTTATTCTCAAAGTAGTTGCTCAGATTACAAGATGTAGGCATGTAAAACTGATCAAACAATATAAGCACAAACCACTCTTTTCAATGGACTAATAGAATTTAGTAGCATAATTATCTCAGCTATCATATATTTTTTTCCTTCCTTCATTTCTCCTTTCCCCCACTCCTTTCAGCAGTTTCCTTTGAAACAGTTTCTTCCCCTTTTACAATATGTATTGCATACTTTGGATCTTATTTACTCTTTCAGTTTCTTATCCTAGGGAGACAATATGATGTTTACACATGTGAGTCTGATTTATGGAAATATATTTTTAAATAAATAAGAAATTGTGATTCAAAGTTGCACTGAAAATTAGAAAATACTTTAAAATAAATAATTTTTAAAATTCTAAGTGTCAGAAGCTATGGAAGGGGTTGGGGATATGTCTCAATGACAGGGCACTTTTCTAGAACAAGACAAGCCTTTTATATATTTTTATATATACACATACCTTTTATATATACACACATATTTAATATATATATTTATAATAATATATGTAATATATAATGTCTATGATATAGTAATACCAAGGTTAAAAAGCAACCCATAGTCTTAATTACATATATTGAAAAAGAAGTTTGAAAGATAAAATTGCATTAAACCTAAAACAAACAGAAGGAAGGCAAACAAAAATAAAAGGAATAAAATACAGAGGAATAAAAGTTAAAAGTCAGTTATTTAAAAAAAAAAACTAATAAAATTGATAAAGGACTAGCAAGGCAGAGAACAAAAGAGAAAGAGAGGGTGTAAATGACCAGTACAAGAGATAAATCAAAGGAGATCACTACGTGACACCAAAACCATAGACAACAAAACAAAACGAGACAAGTGGGATTATATCAAACTAAAAGCTTCTGCACATGAAGGGAAACATTCCACAAAATGAAAAGGCAACCTACAGAACGGGAGGAAACATTTGCCCATCATATATCTGATGGAGGCTTAGCATCCAAAATACTTCTTATATAAGGAACACCCAGAATTCAATAGCAAATATCCAATTTTATAAATGAATAAAAGGTACTAAGTAGACACTTCTCCAAAGAAGATATACAGATAGCAAACATGTATATGAAAATGTACTCCACATCACAAATCATGAGAGAAAAGCAAAACAAAAGCATTAGACATCACTTCGCACCTGTTAAGGAACTATTTATTAAAAAATAAACTGGCTGAGATTGTACCACAGTAGTAGTGAATTTGCTTAGCAGGGAAAAGGACCTGTGCTTATCCCAGCACTGTAATAAATAAATACATAACTTTTTTAAAACACCACAAAAGATAATTATTGAGGAGTATGTAGATAAAAGGGAACCTTTATACAAAGGACACATATATTCCTTGATGGAGTTGGTACCACCATCATGAAAATAGTATAAAATTTCTTCAAAAAATTAAAAATATATGACAGGTGTGATGGTGTATTCTATAATCTCAGCACTCCAGGAGGGTGAAGCAGAAAGTTTGCAAGTTCAAGGCCAGCCTGGGCAACATAGTGATTTAGGAAGATTTGGTCTTGAAAATAAAAAAAATAAAAATAAAACAGGGCTGGGGATGTATATTGGTGCAAAAGCCCTGGTTGAATCCCCACTATCACAAGTAAATAAATAAATGAACAAACGAATGAAATATATCTAACATATGACCCTCTAATCCCACTTCCGGGTGTAAATCAGAAAGAAATGAACTGTGGATATCTGCACTACCATGTTGACTACAGCATTATATATGACAGTCAACACCTGGAAGCAAGCCACACACCTGCTGATGGATGAATGGACAGAAAAAATGTAACACAGTCTATACATACAATGGAGCACTATTCTGCCTTAGAAAACAAGGCTACCTTGCCATTTGTGATAACACTGGGGAAACTAGAGAACACCGTGCCAAGTGAAATGAGCCAGACATAGAAGGACAAACACTACATGACACTACTCCTATGAGGAATCTAAAACCCCGAACTCACAGAATCAAGAGAAAAATGGTACTTTTCAGTGGCTGATGGGGAGGACAAAATGGTAATCAAAGAGAACAAGGTGTCAGGTGGAAGGATGAAAAAGTCCCAGAGACCTAACATTAGGCAGTCTGTCTAGTATTAGCTGCACATACAAGGTGTGATAAAAGAAATACAGTGTGTTTAAGTTTTCTAAAAATTATTACAGTGCTTGACCAGCACATATACTAAAATTAGAACAATACAGAGAAGATTAACATGGCCCCTGCATGATGATGGCATGCAAATTCATGAAGCAGTCCTTTTTTTTTTTTTTTTTTTTTTTTTTTTTTTTGTCTTTTTTTGGGTACCGGGGATCGAACTCATGACTGCCTGCTTGCAACGCAGGCACTTATGCCACTGAGCTAAATCTCCAACCCCGAAGCAGTCCATATTTTTTAATAGCTACCACAGTCTGTCAGCTTCTAAACCATCCTTGATGCTATTGTTATTGCTCATTGTAGTACTTTAGCTGGGATGTCAGATCTGTTGCAATCTTCCTTCTGTAACAATACTAGAAGCATTGGGACAATAACTGCACCACAGTCTAGCACCAAAGAAGTGGGGACTGAGCCATACAGATACTGACATCTCACCCTTAATTCTGGGAAGGCAGATCTTGGGCAGACACAAGCCAAGAATCTCTTACACACAGAAGACATCCCTGAAGAACAGACCTTTTCCAGAGAGGACTTGATGATAGTGATATGGTTACCCTCTACAGAAGCTTACAAAGATCAACACAGGAAGCAAAACAAAAATTTTGGAAATAGAAAATGACAAGACACAAAAACAAAATGCAATCTCAGACCTCCAGCCCACTAAGAACAAGTCTACGAGACAACGAATAGAGGAAAATGGAAGACGCACACCTGAAATTTCTGAAATGGGAGCAACTAAAGTAAAGAAACAAATCTATGAGACTACTGAGGAAACTAGAACATAAATAACCTCTCAGGTAAAAATCATCACAGTAAAAGATACTCTGTCAATTAATCTCCCTCAAAATGCTCACCTTAGATTCAAACGCACATACTCTACCATCTGTGCCTCTTTCTGAAGCAGTTCTGGAAGTCTTCTTTTGCATCTTTAGCTTCACTTATTGTACCCTGGCATAACTGATGCCATCCTGAGCCCTGCATTTAGCTAGTGCCAGGAAAATGGAAAATTACTCAGGGTATCAGTCTCATGAGAAAAGCAAAATGAGCTTGTGAGTACAAGACAAAAATTAACCTGCTCAACAAAAGAAGCACAATATAGGTGTCAACCAAAAATTAATGTAAGACTCTAGCTAAACTGTTTCCAACAGGATGTCTATCTGTGATTCTCTGTTTAAAAGCTTTGTAATTTTCCAGTTCAGGGCCACTCGGTGAGACTCTGAAATGGGTCCACATGAGCACTCCCTGGGCTTGGCTAATTAAATTCCAAATTTATCAGTTTGGCTGCTTGGATTCCTATATTGTTTACGAACCCACTTCACACTGCCATGACTACCTTGATGCCAAGTCAGTTCAGAATGCTTCACTTTCACGGTCACCTTGACTTTGGAGAAGAGTCAAAACTGTACAGCACCAAATCCAGAGAATAAGGTAGATGAAGACATACCAAAATGTTTTTGTAAGCCTGCCTTCTCATTGGACAGCATTCAGCAGCACTGTTCACCATGTTATTTTTTTTTCCCATCTTATCTCATAAAGACAGTAAAAAGAACTTCCAAATCTGCTCTGAAAGTGGCAGGAATGATGGCACATGTTTATTCTAAGAGAGGAAGTGTGTTTTGAGGGGGACTAATGGCAATGTGCTTTTTAGTGTAATTTTAAAATTTAAACATTCACCATATTTTTCGTTTACCTCTTTTTCATAAAAATTTGTGAAGAGAGTGACCTTATGTTAGTTAAGTGTTCTTAGCACAAACAAAAACACAAATACACACAACATAACAATAAAGAAGTCAAGAGGAGATTTTTGGAGGTGATGAATATATTTATGCGATAAAGTCTGGTGATGATTTCATGGATATAAATTTAATTCCACACACAGCAAGTTGCACATATTATGTATAGCTCTTTGTGTTTCAAGCTTTTTTAAGTTTAAAAAAATTAAAGGACTACAGACCTTACAAACCCCAAAAAAATCTTTAAAACCACTTTATGTCAATGAATTTGTTAATGAAAAAAGATAAATTGCTTTTTTTTTAAAATCCCAGTGAAAAAATTAAAAGGAGAAATAGGAAAACTAAAAAATTCCAAGGAACTGATATTTCAAAATTGTATCCAAAAAAAAAAAAAAAAAAAAAAGAACACTGAAAGGAAAAGAGAAAAGAAGCAATCTAATTCCAGAATCTGACAGCAAGTCAGTGTTCTAAATTATAAAATGTCATATTCTGTAAGCTATGGTAGAAGACTATATAGAGAACAATGCAAGAATGAAGAAATCAGGTCTATCAGAGAAAGTAATTTGTGGTTCAGCCAAATCCACATCAAATGACCAGAAATTATGGTCTCCAAGATAATGTTACTGTGTGTGGAAAAACCAGAGTCTCTTTCCCTTCCTGAGAGTACCATGTGAAAGAGCCTAGTAACTTCACTCATTCATATCACCCTCCTCAAGATCTCATGGAGCCCAGTCCACTTATATAAACCAGCTCACAAGGAAAGTTGGCACAAGCACAGGGGAAATCTCAAACTGGGAATTTGACACTCATGTGATGACACCAGATCTAATCAGTTACAAGATATGGGACCTAAACTGACACCATTAACCCGTCTCAAAGTCAGTTACCTTTTCAAGAAATAAGTAATAAATATACACTAAGAGCCTAACGTTAGCATAGTAGTCAGAAAACAAATTATCTGCTCTTTTCAAATTCCTTGCTATGAAGTCCTATGCTTCTTTGATTGTCTAATCTGCAAACCAAGGGCAAAAAGGCTTAATATCAACCCAAAACCCAAAGAAGCTATAGGTGCCATCATTTCATCTGCCTGAGTACTAACTCTGGAGCCCTCCTGAACATCACTGTTAAAATAACCTAAAATTATTCCTGAGATTCTGCCAAACTCTATTCCAAAACATTCATTTATCACTACCCTAAGGACTGTCTGGTATCTGAATCAGATGATAAAAATGTACAAAGTTTTTCAAATCTGAAATATTTTAGCACCAAACAGACTTCTCTTTGTTGCAGGTAATACAAGGTGGTTGAGGCTGTACCTCTGAGGCAGAGGCAGGAAAACAATAATCTGAAATTCATTTGTGATAACAATTTCACCCTCTATCTCCAGTTAGCATAAGATGTCTCCATCATCTGGGAAGAGAGAAGTAAAGCACCAGGCTTTGCAGCTTAGGTATTCCAACACTGGTTGGCAAAAGAAAAAGAAAAAGAACAAAGGAAAAACCAGCCCTGGGCTGAAATCTCACAGATGGACGTGCACCTCCCTTAGGCTGGTAAAATGCTGACACCCATGAGGAGGCAACACCAAGCAGTCAGTCACCTCCTCTTATAATCCCCAGACTTGACATGCCTACAAGGTCTTAGAGAAAATGGCCAACTCTGGGAGCCCTAGCAATTTCCAAGTAGAAGCAAAGACCAGCACTATTTTTCAGCACATTCTTATAAGAGGATATTAAAAGAGAAAAAATGATATAGGAGAATGGGAAAGAGGTGGACACAACTGTTGGTCGTGGGTTGGCAACCATAATTTTAATGGGGTGAGAGAGTACCAACATAATGCGACGCCAGGCAGGCCCATTACTTAACCCAACTTTTTGGGTCAACAGGGATCTACTGGGCCCTATGCCTTTGCATTGCTGGATCCCATGGTGCCAGCACACATAGGATTCAATAAATATCTGGAAACGGAATGAGTCATCTTTGCAGACTGCTAGTGAGTCACAAATCTGGATTCTTTTAAAACAATGCAAGCTGATTCAAAGAGCAACCCTGATGGCTCTCTAACCCCTTTTCCATAATGAAAAACATTAAAATCCTGCAAAGGATCTGCTCACTGCAGTTTTGAATGACACTGCCTAGAAAACTGCAGGGAGAAAGCATGCCCTTTTTCTATCAAATTTTATTTTCCCAAACAAACCTGTTAAGTTGTGCTATCTCACTTGACAAAATAACCTACGGCAAAAGACTTTTCATTACCAAAAAGAGCACATCCAACATGATAGCAGCAACAGGCTGCAGGCACAAGCTTGCATCTCCTCTCTCTTAGATAATTCCTGACTATAGTTATGGTTAAGCCATCTGTCTCTGTGTCTTGTAGTTATTTTCTAGGTCTTACATCTCCCTTTATCTAGGCAAAGCATTACACAATGCTAGTCTTCTTGTCAGGGCGACAGCAGACAACTCCATTTTCTTATCCTTTACAATTGCTGTTGGAGCAGAAATAAAGCATGGATATTTCCAAAGATGATGTTTAACGGGAAGGACAATAGCACTTTTATAGTAAACTGTATCTCTAGAGTGTGGAGTTAAAAAAAAAAGTTTAATAAAGCTACCTACCGCTAAGTCCTGGATAAAGCCCACGAGAATAGCATCCCTCACTCTTGTAATACTGCAGCTGATGGCCAGTTTAATTAGCTAAATGTAGTAGTGCTAAGCCAATTCTGCACAGTGCCAAAGTTTGTGCAGAATAATGAAGGCAATGGTTTACTAAATTTAATAACCTGATTCATCTTATAAAAAATTAACTTTATGACAATGTTTAAATTGAACCAGCTTAACTGCATGGAGATGGCAAGAATATGTCCAGAAGAATATTTAAAGCTAATAATATAAGGAAAATAAAGGAAGACATTTTTAAGCAAGGGGCTGCTTTTGGAGCACTTGTTACATCCCATCCAATCAGAAAAATTAAGTGGCCACGCAGGTTTAGCATCTCACTGTCTCAGCTTTTAAGCTATAGATACAAGCATGTACAACTTAACCCCAAATTAAATACCTGCTGCAGTCTTCATTCTCTATACTAGTTTTCATCCTCTATAAGAGAAGTATAAAGTGCTGGGTCCTGGATAAATCAAGCTGAGAGACCTGTTCTACGTGGCACACTCTTTCTTTGCCTTTCACCTTCTTCCTTGCCCCTCTTCATTTCTTCCAGTCTCCTTTATTTCTTCTGTCTTTCCCTCCTATCCTCTCTGCCTTTCTTCTTCCCCTCATCTTTCCTAATTAAAATATTAGAGAGATCACAGTCCAAAACCAGATGTCAAACTTCTCTGAAGAAGCCTGAGAAGGGAGCGTCCTGGGAGTCCAGTCCCACCTGGTGGCAG